AAAAATTATTATTTTTAAATATGAAATTAAAAATAAATAAATTTAAAAATATAATTATGTATACAATATATAAAAATAACTTAATCAAGTATACTTCTACTATATTTTAATAACTAAATTTAATGAGTATCGAAAATATGTTTGAATCATATGGTACACCAATCTTTTTTTTCTTTTTTTTTTTTTTTTGCCTACTATCTAAGCAAAGTAACTCAGCTACATATAGAGTGTGGATTTAGGGGGTGGATGATTAGGTTTATTCTAAATTAAGCTTTAAGCCTGTTGAGAGACTGAAGGTCAACCTCAAAAAAATATTAGCATAAAACATGGATTTGAACATTTCACAGACTAAAATGTGAAAGGTAGGATGGGTGGTGGCAAATTCATGGGGAAAATCCCCTGATGTTGGTTCCTTATTGGATCTAATTAAGTTCGTGGAGAGAAGCCTTAGGTTAAAAGGCACGCTGGTTAATATAAAGAACTTAGACAGGAGTCTTTATCCATTGAGTTATGGAATGGTTGGAGCTACCATCGTAAAGAAAAGGAACTTTACTTAAGGCTTCATTTAAGTTGGAAACAACAAACAATGACTGTGTAAACTCCAGACAGCTTGACATTAACGTCGAGGTTTTTAATTATAATGACAAGATGTATGAAACTTAAATGTGCCACTTAAATCTCACCATCTTTTAACTATAAGGCGGTATCGATTTTCATTTTCCTAATTTAATAAAATAGTAAACAGTTCAACTTTTTTTTTTTTTCATCACTCTAGTATAAAAAGTTCATGGGACGATCTAAGGACCCTATTATTATAATATATATTACTTTTTTTGCTAGTTTGTTTAATACACATTAACACTTATTTAAGTATAAATAATTAAATAATTCAATGGTAATTTTTTTTAATTAAAAGTAAAAGTTCAAAATTTAAATTATATATCATACAGGTAGAATGAATTAAAGAATAAGAGACAATTATCTTTTATTGTGCAACCAATATCCAAAACATTGGTGATATTACATAATTTGTTACGTAAATGTTTGTAGACAAAATAAATAAAAAATTGGGGGGGTGAAACTCTCACCTTTGTTGGTAGCACTAAACTCTAATCAAAATATTTTAAAAATTGGAAATTTTCCTTTTGTGAACAAGATGTGTGTAACAGTGGAGTATTTCTTCTGGGTTTGAACAATTATGGTGTTTTTGAGTTTTTTTTTTTTTTTTTTTTTGTATTTTGAAATTAATCTCTCATTCAATGATTTTAAGGGTGTACCTTAATAATGACTTAGTAAATTTAAAGAAATTAATTTATCTTAGTACTAATTCCAAAACTTGAATACTAATTTTAGCTTATAAAACAAAATTACTTATTAGTAAATTCAATTCTTGGAGTTCATATTGCAAAGAGCATATGACTGCTAATATCAAGCAAACGAATTCCGTAAAAAAAAAGGTTATGGCCTGTTATTAAGCTCTTTACTAAACCCCTTTGAAAGAAAATAAAATTTTTAGACTAAAATGACAACTGGTTGATAGGTAATAGTTGAATTATTATTAATATTATTTGTATGGAATTGTCCAATTTAGCCAATCCTAAGCATTTTGCAGATTTTTCTTTAAGATTATGCTAATAACCTAAGTGGTCCAATACTATTTTCTTTTAAAACAAATAAGAGTTCATCTGAATTGTTAAAAAAAAAAAAATTAAACTTTAACAAATTCACATTTTCAATAAAATTAAACCAAATCCTTCATAAAAGGTAACCAATCAGCCAAAAGGGAATCTAAAATCTCATTGTTGGATATCACTTGGTAATAAAATGACCCTTTTTTTCCTTATGCTATATATGTTTGGTTAGAGGGTAGGGTTGGGAGGGTTGAGATGAAAATTCTTTTATTTAATTATTAAAAAAAATTAAAGTAGAGGGGAAATGAGAGAAATTTTTTACTTTAGTGTTTCTCTTAATTCATTTACTTTTTCTTCTATTCCTTCTCTTTTTTGCATTTCCCTTAAGCCAACGTACCCTTAAAGCTATAAAAATTAATTTTTTTAATACACCAATTGAATATGAGAGATGCATTTAATTTTAAAATCATTCAAGAGATAGATTTAATTATAATTAGTTTATCATTAAAGATTAATAAATAAATTTTATACCAAAAAAATTAATAAATTAAAAAAAATCATTTCATTTTCTTTTTTATTAGTGCATAAACACATCACTTGATTAAGATTTCATTTTTGTCCTTCCTAAAAAAATTTTCTGGCTACATCACCGTATGCGGCAGTCTAATCCGTTGGCCAAAAAGAAACAAAGAGAAGAAAAATGTAGCAGTCCAATCCTTGTCCAAACCAAATTATCAGCTAAAATTATGCCGAGAATCATGTTTGAGATAAAAAAAAAAAAGGATCATTTCTGATTCGCCCACAGCTTGCTCCAAAACACATCACCAACTTTAATTTCTTCCAGCAGAATTTGGAGAAAATTCTAGCTAGCTGGTCACTAACCAACTAAAAAAATTCATCTTTTGTTTTTTTTTTTTTGGTACGGTAGCTGGTAACTTTTGGGAGATTAATGATGTACTGGAGTTTGGTCGATCCCATGTGAGGAGATCGTGCTTGAGAGATTTGATGATGAACTCTAGTTAGTTAGTCAGTAGCCTATAAAAAAATCTTCAGTTTTTTTCCGGGGAAACCCAAACGCCAAGCGATAAAGTTATCTCTAATTTTTTATGAAATTGTTAAATTTTTATTAAAATAAATAAATCTTTAAATTTAATGATTTGTGTAATTTAACTTTTTTTTATAACAGATTTTATTGTATTTTTATTGTGTAAATCGGATATTAACATGTCATTATCTACATGGTGAACATCAATATTATCCATATAATTAAGATATAAATGGATGTTAAGTCTACTATAACAAAAAGAGTTAAATTACTTTAATCATCAAGTTTAAAAGTTTATTTATTTTAATCAACGATATAAATAATTTAATAATTATCTTTTTTTACTGAAAATAAGAGATCATGAATTCGAAATACATAACATGTGGATGAAGTGAGATAAATGATGATTCCATTGTACAACCAAAATAAAAAAAAAAAAGTTGATGTACTTTAAACAAATTTTAAAGATTTAATCAAGAATGTAAGATAAGTTTGGGAATTTAATATATGGTTTTGCCCCTTTTTGATTGGGTAATGATATAACTAAAGTTTGGTCTCATCTTGAGAAATGCTTACACGCTTTGGTGATGAATTTTGTCCCTGTAGCATATTATCAGTTATAGGTTGTTTGAAACAATTAGCCTTTATTATAATAATTGTAAATTATCATTAGGGTTATATTTGGTCGTGCTGCTAAAGAATAGTTGTTAGTCGGATAATCATTGTTATTTTTGTCTAATTTTAGTCGTTTAAATTTGATTTTTAATTTGATTTTTAACTACTCAAACATTACTTTTAAATGCAAATTTAATTTACTATATAAATAATAATGGTAGTTTTTTTTGTTAAATAAAACTACTCAATAAGAATTATATATATAAAAAAAAACTATAATTGTGATTCATATATTTTGTTCTAATCCATCTTTTAAGTGAATACCGCAGCAGAACCGGCCAATAGAAACTCCTTTGGTTTTTCTCTTTTTTTCTTGGTTGTACAATTAGAAGCACTCATTTTTCATCTTTTATCTCACTTCATTCATATATCATGCGATTCGAACTTAAAATCTCTTACTTTCAATAGAAGAAGATAATCACTGAGTTACTCAAGTTATTGATAGAAGCCTTGTTTCTTTTGCACTTGCTTTGTCATTTTCATAATAATTTTTCTTTATTTTATTTTTTTAATTTCACTAAAAAATTCTAATTACTTCTGATTAAACCTAAGTTAATGACACTAACAATTTAAATAATTTAATAATAATTTATTTATAAAAATAAAATATTTTAAATTTAAATCACATGAAATACAAGTAAAATAAACTCAAAAAATAAAAAAAA